TCCGAGAGCGCGAGCCGCGCTGGGCAGGCGGGTGGCGCGGGCCGCCGCTTCCGGAGCCGCGCGGGGCGGGGCCGCGGGGCGCGAGGCCCAACCCCGACCCGGGCCGCGGCCGCTCCACCTGCGGAGCCCGCGCCGGCGCCCCGGCTCCTGGAAGGCTGCACCGGCCCGAGGCCGGGATCTGGGCTCCCCGTAGCTGGATCAGCGAAAGCGCTGAGTGAGTCCAGCTCCTAAGAAAGGAATTCGCAAACCTGCTGCTTGGAAACCGGAGCTGCTACTTAAAACGCGCCGTCCCGCCAAGGGAAGAGCTTCCGTCCAGCTCAGGGAGTCGGACATGGTAGCCCCTCTGAAAATGCTGAAAGCTGCGAAATTTCGCTAACGCCCCCTTTTGTAGATTTCATTCCGTTTCCTGACTACACCCAAGTATCGGTCCCCATCTGAGCACCCCAATACTTCCAAGCCACTGCAACAGACGCAGTACAAAGGGAGCCTGGCGTTCCATTCATTCTAAGATGACTTATAAACACGCTTAAGAGGAAGCAGTTACTGCACCAGCAATACATACTGAGAACTTGTCTATTTCCCCCTCCTTCACTAAGCCACCGAAGTTTACAAACTAGGTAAAAAGTCCAGACTGTCCATTCTAGTCATCATTTTAAGATCATTCTGAAAAATCAGAGGCCAAAAACCAGGACTACAGGCTTTATTAGAGGAGAAGGACCTGCCCGGCTGCCTCGCAAGGGGAGGACAGCAGCAGTGCAGGGGTGGCAGTGCAGGGGTGGCAGCCTTTTGAGGGGCGGAATGGGAAGGGGTGGGGGCTTAGTGTACTCAGCGCACACTGATTGGTGGCTTACTGCATTGTCCATATAGGACAAGGGCTTAGGGCTTAGGCAGTGATGGCGAACCTATGACACGCGTGTCAGAGGTGACACTCGAACTCATTTTTTTGGTTGATTTTTCTTTGTTAAATGGCATTTAAATATATAAAATAAATATCAAAAATATAAATCTTTGTTTTACTATGGTTGCAAATACCAAAAAGTTTCTATATGTGACAGGCACCAGAGTTAAGTTGGGGTTTTTCAAAATGCTGACACGCTGAGCTCAAAAGGTTCGCCATCACTGGCTTAGGGTATTTGGCAGGTGTGGATTGGTGGTCCAATGTATGGTCCATATAAGGTACATGGTTAATCACTCAGGTATTTCCGGGCTGCAGGTTACATCATACTCCGCCCACTAGTTGGGGGAAGGGAGGATCTAGCAATTCAATTTCACTCTCTAGACCCTAAACTTTCTAACTGGAACCTTTAACACCTTAGCAAACATGTTTACATGGAATTTTAGGAAATTCTATGTAAATTTTAGGAAATTCCAAGTAATTTTGATAGTAGCAAAATGACAGGCAGAACTGTCCTTCCCTCAGAACACCTTAATTTGGATGAGGCATTTATCTCCATAGATTATGGAGATAAATCTCCATATCATAAGTGGTGACACAAATCAGGGACACATCTTTCTGGGAGCCCCACGTTCACCGAGAGAAGGGTGCTGGTTCCCTATCTCCGAAGTCATGAGAGAAACCGTAACTCAGGCTCGTGTGCTTTACACTGTAAGAGAAACGTAACACCCCACAACCTGTAAACACTCCTGTTGCTCCCAGAGATGCCCGATCGTTCAAATGAGTCTGGTTACACTATACTCGAGTCATCTCAATCATGGGAGGGGTTTAGAGGTGACCTAGTTCATCAAAAGTGTCACTTATTTTTAAACATTTTAAAATTATTTTATTTGTTATTATTGTTGTTATTGTTATTATTATTTATTTATTGTTTTGTTCTTAATCCTCACCCAAGGATACCCTTCCATTGATATTTAGAGAGTGGAAGGGAGGGGGAGACACATCAATTGGCATGCGCCCCAACCAGGGGCGGGGAGGAGCCTGCAACTGCGGTACATGCCCTGGGCCAGAATTGGGACCCCTCAGTCCGCAGGCCAACACTCTACCCACTGAGCAAAACCGGCCAGAGCAAAAAGTGTCACTTTTAAGTTAGGAAATGGAGCCCCGAATGACAAGCCGACAGAATACAGCTGGTCAGTGGCACCCGGGGGCCTAAAAGCCAGGTCTAATGATGCCCAATTTAGACGTTCAATACAGCATGTGGGCCTGGAGCTTTCTCCCTAGAACCCAGTGGTCTCCGTATCCCTCAAGGGGACTGACTCCCCGGACCCCCACCCCCACCCGTCACCTTCTAATTAATGTGGACCCTTCCTTCCTTTGGAGCTCTTCTCTCTTTGACCGCCCACCACTGCGAAGCACCTTGCAGGCTGGACTCTGTGCTGGGTGTACAGTCCGTTACACCCAGCACAAAGGGCAGGTAGTAGAAGAGTCAGACATACAGCATATTGGCTAATAATTATTTTCGATATCAGTTCATCTCATTATCCCTGAATTTTATTGCCGCAGACATCAGAGGTCATGATCATGTTGAGCTCATGCTATGAATGGAAACCGGCTGCTTTAGAGAACTGTCTTCAGAGGGAAGCCCGCTTGCCTCGGCCTTCACGGGTCGTTTTCACTGAGTGACCAATCACTGAGCGGAGGATTTGTAGTAACAAGAAGAAAGCAACTAGGCAGGCAGAACACCGAAACCCTCTCAAAAAGATGACACAGGACACAACAGTTCAAAATCAGTACATTTGTTTACTTGAAGCAACAGTCCAGGATTGTGAAGTACAACACAGTTTTTAAGGATGAGATTCGTTTCATGGTCAACACCAGCATCATGCACACAGCTTCTGGCTGTCAGAGCACTGCCCGAGGGGTCCGAGCGGGACGAGGACCCAGGACCCGCCGCTGCGAGCTCATGCCCTTGCTTGCTTCTGGACACTTGGAATCGGGCAGCTGGAGTGGACACGGAGCGTCCCCTGCGGGACAGCACGGGGCTTTGCTCCTGGGCCAGCCCAGTGAGTGCCTGGCTTCTCGCTTAAGGTTCAAAAAGAAAAGGCAGTGTCTTTGCTCTGCGGGCAGCAAAGGCATGAGGCACAGGCCTCTCTGTGGTTCCATACGGCACAGGAAGATGCTTTTAGCAAAGGGCACGGACAAGTTCGGGCGACACCCAGAAGGTTCGGCATAAAGATAGCCTGGGCGGGGGGCGGGGGGGGGGGGCAGCTGTAGGGACGGTGCCTGTGGACTGTTTACTGGCCTGTCCAATCAAGGCTTGGTAAACCCAAGTAAAGCTGACAAGAAAAGGGTTTTAAAAACCTCAGTACAAAAAATCCTCCAATACATTTGGAACCAAATTATTTGTTCTTAAAAACACGGGACGAGGTTCACAAGGCTTTCCCGCCAATCTACTACTAGGAGCACTCATGCCATGGCCTACAGACCCGGAGGAGGACAGATGAAGAACCTGCTCTTCAAAAAGAAAAAGGGGAAAGAAAGACAGCAGTACATAAAGTGCTTCTTCTTTAATGAAACAAATCCAAAAGATGTACAGTCAGGCTCAAGTTGTGCAGTTCACAAGCATGGAGGAAACAGACAAACAAACAAAACGACGCGTCCGACAGGCGCGCTAGCCCAGGACCAGGCTGGACTTGCCGCCAGGGGGGTTTCTCCGCGACGGCACCGGGGCCGGCGCCACCGGGCTGGGCACAGGGGCGGCGGGCACTGGCTTCTCCTCGCTCTGCCCCAGGCTGGCCTGCAAGTCTACGTCCACGTTTTCTACGGAGACAGAATGAAATGAAGGCTGACAGCGATTCCCAGGGAATCTGAAGGATCTAAGTTGTTTGTTAGGAAGATTCAAAACATACCTAGAGACAGAAAGAAGCAAACCACCCCCACCAACCATGTCCCCAGCACCCAGAATTTACCACCGTTTGTGTTTTGCCATATGTGTCCCCAGGCCCTGTTCTGTGTGTTCTTTTCTCAATTACACAAACACGAAAGACATGAATATTGTAAATTAGAACATCACAGACAAACTCTAGATCCCTGACTCCTAACCCACCTCCACGTGGGTCTCCTCGCCCTATCCCCAGAGGGTTTGTTTTGGGCATATTTTACGTGTATTTTATATCCAGCACGTGACATATAATACTGTTTTCCCTGTGTTCAACATAATATCAACTTCCTTTTTTTCACTCTTTTGCAAATTTACCCATATTTATACACACGGTCATAATTCACCTTGCTTAATTAAAGTGCTTTAGTGTGTGTGTGTGTGTTTATATATATCCAGTCTTCTACTGAGCAACCGGCCCAAGCACTGCAAACAACACTGTAATGCAAACACTACCCAGCACCTTCCCAAGTGGCTGTGCCCCCCGTCAAAGCAATGTATGCCCTCCTAACACCTTTGCATATGCACCGCTTGGTAACCACCTTGCTTTAATATTTGCCAGACTGATGGGTGGGGAATGTTACTGCGTACCTGTTGTATGTTACATGTCCATGATAACTGGGTGAGGTTGATTTTAACTACACAGATGGCCAGTTGTACCATCAACATTTATTAATGAGTCCACCGTTCCCCTACTGGCTTGTAATAACACCTCCATTAACCAGGTCACTCCCATCTCTCATTAACTGGGCACTTTCCATATTAAAGTGTTTAGAATTAGTGTAGTATTGTCCAAAATCCTGGATATTGCTTGATTGATTCACTGGCTGATTTGTGAAACTCCCAAAAAGCATATATTCTTAACCAGGTAGTTTACAAAATCAGAGACGTCATTGATTCAAAGAGTAACTGCAAGAGAAAAAACTCAGAATTTTCTGTGGAAGGAAACTTCTACGAAGAGTTTCATAGTTTTAAGGCATGTTCGATTTTTAATTTTTAAAGAAAATCCAGGTCTCATTTCATTCAGTGTTAGACCAC